TTCCATAGCTCCAAATAGCTTCTTAGGTACATGCCTTGGTTTTTGTTTTTAAAATTTTACTTATCTAGCCTGTAAGCTTATCAAAGGCAAGAATGATTCTATTTCTATAACATTCACTATATTTGTAATGATTTGCTTATGATTAATTGGATGGGAACCCTCTTACTCTTTGATGTCATAATGGCTGTAGCCCATTCCATGCGGAAGTACTGGGGCAGGGCAAGGTACTTTTCTTTATTAAAATAAGGATTTAACATGTCTGAGATATGTTATTAAATACATATATACACAATCTTATTAAATACCCATATTTATATATTTTTATAAATTTTTAAAGTCTAGTAGAAAATAGAAAGAAAATAAAATGATTGAAGCAATGCCAAAAAAAAAAAGCTTGGGAATTATACATACATATTTATAAAAATATATTTTGTATGCTTATATGTTTATAAAATATATTTTTATATATAATATATATGTAATCCCCAAGCATTTTGTTTGTTTTTTGGCATTGCTTCTATCATTTTATTTTCTTTCAATTTTCTACTAGACTTTAAAAATACCATGGTTGGAAGAGAATTTTAAATGTAATCCCCCCCCCCGCCACAGATGAGGAAAGTGGTGAGGATGGGGGATGTGCAATAATTCGCCCAAAGACACACAGCCATTCAGCGTGGGAACCTGAATCCTTGGCTTGTGATTCCCAAGTCATCTTTCCAATGGGCCATAAACATTTTTCAGCATTTGTTCGGTTTTTAAGAGAGTGCCAACTTGTACATTGGAAAAGACACTTGTAAATGGATGTTAACTGTTTCCTGGACTCTTTGTTAATTGATGAATGTTTGGGTGTCCAGGCAAAGGAAAGCCCCTTTGCACACTTAGAGAAATAACCTGATTACAGAGACTTCTCCAAATAGCTTATTAAATGAGGTGATCAGAATACAGAAGGAATGAAGTTGAGGGCACCTGGAAGCACTGGCTGCTGTGCCGAGTGACACTGAGGAAAGGAATGCCACGTTAGGGTGGTTATCTAGGGACGGTTGTTTCGTTTCCTAGTGCTGATGTCTGGTAAAGGCTATGTGATCAAGGGAACTTGTTTTTTTGAACTGGAGAAATCTGAATATTTGGAGTTTGAAATTCTCCAGTTGAAAAATCGGGCAGAAAGAAAGTGCTGGTCAAGCTAAATTCACAAGTTTTAAATGATAAGAGGAACTACAGTAACTTCATTACATCACTCAGGTCTCGCTCCTTTGTGTGTGTGTGTTTCTGGATGTCTACCTTGTGACAGTTAGCCCTATTTGGGCTGGCACCTACCAAGCTCAGATTCTGTCAGGCGTGAAAGCACACAGCACATCTGCAAAGTTGGTTTTCTATCACAAGAAAGCCCTTATCTTTGCAAATAGAATGTCGTTGAAATATTTAAAGGAGAATCCTATTTTCTATGAGATCAGTCTCTATGGAGAGAATTTGGAGAGCAACAATGTTTTTAATATGCTTGTGCATCTGGACATAAAATTTCATAACTGTGAAAAGCCTAATGAGATGGTTCCTAAAGTTAAAACTCCAGCACCAAGCAGAAATTTTTCATTATCGCTAAGAGTTAATTAATAATGCCATTTGGCACCGTTAGATGTACAGAAAATTGTATAAGAAATAAGACTGCTTCGCTTTCCTTTTGCCTTTCAAGGCTGTTCAGGCCACTTTTAAATTGCTTACTGGGAAGTAGACCTTACAATAGAAGGGTCATGGGCTTGGAAACTAATCGATATTCATTGTTTTGCTGCTTTACCACAGATGGCTCATCTAGAGCATAATATAATACTAGTCAGAGGTGGTGTGGTGTTTGCAAATAATTTTCCTTAGATAGGTTTATAATCATATCATGCAAGTGATTATCCTAAGGGCATAATCTCTACCCACCATGTATTTCATGGGGGGGTTCCAATTTTGCTGGAAGAACTATAAAATAATTCAATTCATAATTTTAGTCTAAAACAGAATGAGCTTTATTTTTTCTCTGATTGCATTAGCTTATAGACAGGCTTGTTAGGAAACAAATTAGATAACATTACGTGCTCCACGGTTGTTGATACACTTGTTCAATGTTTTCGTACCTCTCTGCTCTCCTCCTCATGCTAAATAATACTTTTCAAAGTATAAGCTACAAGATACCCTGCCTGTGTTAAGAAAAACTCACACGTACCACCAAATTTGAAGTCAAAATGCTGTGTTTAGTTTTAAAGAGAACTCTTGCTTCATAGCCACTTTTAAGTATAACAGCCATATTTAGGATGGCTGGGAAAAAATCTTATGTAAGAAAAGCTATTTAAAAAAAACAACAACACTTGTATTGGACAGTTTTAATGAAAACTCATGTACATGACCTAATTTTAGAGAAAACTGCTTATTAAATCAAATTTTTATGAAAACTCATGGGCACAACTAGTTTTAAGCCTTCACTTTCAGCTTTTGTTAAAAATGCCAGTTCCTGGACTATATTCACTGAGGAGGAATCTCTGGAGGTGGAGCTTATCATCCGTATTTTACGTATTTTGCCCAGGTGATTTTTGAGGTACCCCAAAATCTAGGAACTGTATAAATAGTTTAACTATAAAAATAGAGAGTTTGAATTTTTTCTTTCATGTTCAAGCCCTTTTTTTTCCCCCTAGATTTTACTTAAAATGCAATGGCGCCTGGTGGTGTCACTTAGTGGTCATTGACTTGATGGCAAGAATTGGCTGTCTGAGAGCATGTATACAGGGAGAAAGGGGAGTGGGTAAGGACCCTCAGTGTCCAAAATAAATGGAGGTTCCTGAAGGAGAGAGAAGGGCACAGAGAGAGCAGTAAACCATCTGTTTGATCATTTTGAGTAGGTTTAGCACTTATAACTAAATATGACGATTATCAATTGAATACAGCGAAATTTCTGTCTCTAAGATGTGCACAGTTTCTTCCTGAATTCTCCCTTCAAAGGGTGTATTGCATATTGAATGCTAAATACTAGCTGCCTATCTTACTTAGAATTAGTCATCCTACCGCTAGAATCAATCAATAAACAGCAAAGGCTTATGTAGTGCCAATTATTCATGTAAGATGCTGCTTTAGATCACCACAACACACTAGAATCAACTGAGTACCTTAAAAAGTACTACTGTCCTGCCCCAATTCTAGACTATTTAGATTAGAATTCCTAGAGATGAGGTTCATAACTTCCACTATAGATTGTCATGTATGGCCAATTTTGTCCTTCTCTTGGCTGCAATGAACTTGCCGTTGCTTTTTATTGCTTGTGTGAAGAAAAGTGGGCTTAGAGACAGTTTGGACTTCTAAATTGGAAAACCTGGTTTCCAAACTGATTTTGTTTTAAGATGCATGATAAACTGTACTTACTGCCTGTGTGACCAGAGAACAACACTTAATTTCTCTATAACATCTGTTAACCAATATTTATTAATAGGGCTCTTATAAATTATTTCATTTTCTATGCCACTATATTACTTCATTTAATTCTCACAGCAAATACTGAGGGTGCCAAAAAAAATGTATACACATTTTAACAAAGGAAAACTGTATTAAAATTGCAATACTCAATATATACCAATAACAAAAAAAATGAATACAAGTCACGTTTGACTTCTGCAATCTCAAAGTGGTTACCATCAGCGTCCAGACACTTCTGATTATGGCAAACTATTGCTTGAGCAACATCGACCAAAGTGTCTACTTGGATACATTTTTTTGTCACTTCTGGTATAAGTCAATGTATTATCTTCATTTGACAAATGAAGTCCTAGGACTGAAGCTCAGGGAAGTTAAAAATTACCCCAAATCATAAATACTATTATCTATTGAGTGGCGACTACATGCTAGGCATGGTATAAAGTGTTTTGTAGACTCTTACTGCATAAGATACCTATTGTACCAGCGTTTCTTGAAATATGATCTGTAAACACTGGTCTGTCAAGATGCTTTGGGAAAAAAAAATTCTGTGATCTATTAAGTTTAGGAAATGCTGGATATTTTTTCATCTTGTTGAAAAGTCTAAATGCATCCCAGATAACATATTACGTACACTGTTGTCACTCAATATAGGAACATTTAGCATAATACTCCATGGGTTACTGGATCACAAAAATCTTATTTGACTAACACCTGTTGGTGGAACCTATTTTAAAAAATACTCCTTCAACACAACTTTATGAGCTAGACACTGTATCCTTGTATCACATATTAAGAAACCAAGTAGCTTTGAAATTCAGTCCCTTGTCTGCATTTACTAAGCATTCATCTGTATTAGAACTTGAACCTAAAGTGCTACTGATTTATAAATAGAAAATTATCTTCTGTTTCTAAAGCCTAGGACTCCAGATAGCTGACTCTGATATATATTTCTGTTAGTAAAAGTGAAATAAAATTGTTGAAAGGATTAAACGTAATGTCATATGTGAGAAAATTTTGAAAGCCATAAAGTAATATATACATGTCAGAATTGGGTAGTATACAGCTTATAGGAGTATACAAATATTAATTTTTGGAAAGGTTCATTTCTTTATCTCAACCTCTGAATTACACTTTTAAAGGATAGTGGCCATAGAAACTGAAGTTTTGTTATTGTCAGCCCTGATCATTTATGCTTCATCAATCACCCGTTTATTATTTTTGGTAGCATTTGTGGTTTATTAGATAGTCCTTGGGAATATAAACTTTTGTAATTTCTATATACAGAACCAATGAATTATGAAGCTAAAATAATATAATATTTAACATGATATCTGATTCTACTGAGTTTAAAAATGTGAACTCTGAACTAGGGCAAACAGTATGTTGCTTTCACTTCAGTAACAACAGTAAATAAATGTTAGTGTAATTTACAACTATTTTCTTAAAACTACATTTATTTAAATAAAAAAGTAAGACTGAAAAACAATCAGGGCAAGAGTCAACTTTCCCAAACATGCTTTAGTGGAGACATACAGAGTTGACGAGAGAGACTTGTGATTCAAAAACTGGGACCCATTTAAAGCTAAGCAAAGAGAAGGCAAAATGTTACATAACTGCACAGATGGCATGTTTCTACTTCTGAGAAATATGGTTGGGGGTGAGGGGGTCACTTCATATGTCAAAATGTGATCCCATTAACGAGAACAAAGAACAATTGCTCCTATACTGGGGGAAGATGAAAGGTATCTTCAATTCCCCTACTCACTGTGAAGAGGACACAAGCCCAGAGGGACACAGATAGCCTCAGCCACAACAAATTAAATATGCAGTTGGCTTCCAATGTCACCAAGCTGAGTTAGAGGGGGAATTATTTACAGCACTTTGAGTGTGGGTGGAAAATAAATCTACAGAGATCTGTAACTAATGTGTATGGAAATCCTTGCCTCTATTTTCTCCTCCTTGCCCTTCTCCCCAATGCACTTGGAATGAATGGATAATGGCAAAGGAGGCAGAGAAACGAGTGTGAAAGTGCCAATGCTCAGAAAAGATTGCTCCAAGAACAACCACTCTATCCTGGGTGAGTGGGAAGGGAATGAAATAACATCTCGTGAAAAGATGTTCATCAGTGCTAAGAGAGAGGGTGAAGTGAGTGGAAAATAGAAGATGCTGTGCATTAATTCCTAGCTGAGGACCTTGCTTGAAGCTTGCAAGAAATAACAGATAGCTTGAACAACAAAAAAAAGCCTCACAGTTCCTTAGAGACTCTGAGCACACTATCTTTCTGAACTTACGGATAGTTGTTGAGCTCTACAAGTCAACGTTACTGGCGAGCCTGATGTTAATGAGTTCCTACCCAGTAACTCACTGTGCTTTCCTGAGTGATGTTCTTATGCAGCTCATGCTCTTTTGTGACACCAGAGGTTTCGAGTTTCATTTTCCTTTTCCGGATCACATTTTTTTTTTTTTTTGCATCTTCAAAACCTAAGATATCTTTGAGTTTTTGTCTAAATAATCCATTTTAAATTGTGAAATGAATTTGAATTAAAAATCAACGTTGTTCTGGAATTAGAATGAAAGGGTAGGGCTTTGGGTTGTTTGAAAGTGTGTGGATCTACAGAACATTTCAGACAGGGAGAAGGAAATAGGAAAACACAAAGTTCACAAGATGAAAAGTAGTCCATAAAATTAGCGTTTTGTTTTCATGTTTTGCACTGTGTAATGTCTAAATTGTCTAAATCTACTTTTCATGAGGAAAGAGTTGCTTATTTTTAATGTATGAAGACAGAGCTAAGACAACTTGGTGGTACAGCGTATTTCTCTACATACACACATCTCTTGGAGTCTATAGGCCTCAATTATATCCCCGTTTCAACACACAATGCACATCTGTTTCCAGTGCATTGAATTTAACATCTAGAGTACACGAGTTTTTCTATCTTAAAGAGATACGGAATTATGACTATTTATGCTTTGTAGATACAGATAGCACTGACAACGCCAGTTAGGAGGAACAATATCCTCTGGGAACACTTTTTTTTTTTCCTTTTAACTGATTACACAGTACGAACTGAGAACTGTGTCCGAATCCCTCTCTCCTCTTGAATTAATTTGCCACATTCTAAATCCGTAGATAAAGTGGTTCCAGAAGTAGAGTTGGTCGGATGGGTTTGTTTACACTGCAGTCCATAAAAGAAACAAAAAGCCTCGCATGCAAAAGAAATGAGAAAAGAAATATAGAAAAATGAATAAATCAGAAGCAAAAATGAATGTTTAAATGAAAATTTAAATCAAATGAAGCTGGCAATCATGAGAAGCACATTAAAGCATAACATATACAAGCTTTTATTTGTCAAATTAGTTGCATAAAACAAGACACCTCCAGAGCAAATTGAAAGTTAAAACAAAGCAGACCGGTCCATTCTCCCTTTTAATTGGACAGTTTTCTCTAACAGGGTCCAGGAAAGGGTTGCTTCATGTTCTCACAGTTGCCTTGTGATTTGGGGAAATTTTTCATGATGAAACCAGTTTACAATCAATCAACCCGGATTTGGGAGCTTTAAGGAGAGATTCCATGTGAGGGGAGTGGGACTAGTGTGAGATTATTCATCAGAACTGGCTACCTAATTTGCATGGCTCAGTGCAAAATTACAATGTAGGATCCCTGGTAAAAATGATTAAGAATTTCAAGACAGTGATAGCTGAGCATTAAAGTAGCCCTGTTTATAGTTCATCGTCTTGACATTCTAACAATATCTTTAAATTCAATGGGTGGCCTAATATACTACAATGGCCATGAGTTCTGTATTTTATTTATTCTAGTATGTCTATGAAGGAATCATCTTTAGTCACATTCATCTGATTCAGAATGTAAACTGGTACGATTTCCATCAAAAATAAAAGAAAAGACAAAAGCAGTTGGCTGTTGAAATCAACAATCATCCTAAATATAATTTTGGAAAAACAAAGTTTCTAATATATTTTATTGTCATTTTGTGTTGTTTATCATATTCCTAGCAAAAAAAATAAATAAATAAAGGTGAATTATCTTTTACAAAGTATACCTTGATAGAGGTAAGTGCTAAGTTTCAAATATTATATTTATATATTTATATAAATTGCTTTGTATCAGTACGTGGGCTCAGCATCTACATTAAGGGATGGTAATATTTCTTTCAAAGATCTTTTTATATCTTTTCCAATTTGGGATTTATTTCTTTCCTGCTGTATCCAGGGTTTCTATCTTATGAGCAAATAACTATTCCATAAATTAACTGAGTTTGAAATTTCTGTACTGTCATTCCTAATAGCACTAACTGGATTTAATGGATAAGGTGCTTTGCTTTCTTTTCCTCGTTAATAAGTGATGGGACTGAAGTCTCAGCAGTGCCTAACAGGGATTCAATAGCTCTTTGCTCTGACACAAAAATGACTCTTCTGGGCATCTAATTCAATAGACTGTTACCAAAAAAAGTGCAAGCATCCTTAAAAAGCAAACAAACCAACCAAACTTAAGACATATAATAATAAAAACTACCCAGGTCTAGAAAGAGAGAACTCACCTGTTCAATGTCATTGTTCTTCCGTGATTTGTATATAAATTCTCCGATGGCTACAAATACAGAAAGGACCAGTCCAGCAGCCAGAACAATGAAGATGCCCCCAATATTCTCTACTCCCAGAGCACTGGCCTCTTTGCTGTCTTCCTCGGGGCAGCCATTTCCCCGCCACCACTTCTCTTTCATCATATGCAGTTTCCCCTCCTCTTGTAATTGAAGGATAGCAATAGTAATTTTGTCCCGGTAAGGAGAGCCTGGAAGTAAGGTCATTTGGATATCGGTCACCAAAAGGTGGAAGAAGATGTGAAGAAGGATTATTGTCTTAGAGATAACTATTTTTTGGCTGTTGGGAAATCCACAAATTGACTGGCAAAGGGCACAAAAGTTCAATCCTATAATTTGAAGGCTCTAAATAATTGGAAAGGGGATAGCTGACCTGTTGAGATGAACTCTTGCCCAGACTGTCTGTTCCTTTTAAAGAAGAGTTGGGAATTCTGTGATGTACCTCTGCTTCTAGTGAGGTTTTCATGAATCTTTTCCTACATTAATTAAGAGGTTTCATTGTTTAGAGTCTACTTTTTCTAGGCTTTTGATTGATATTGTGATAGGCTGGCTAGATACTCACTACTGTCATTTCCTCTTCTTCCAACGGAGTAGATGGACATTTCCCAGGCTCCTTTACAAATTAGTGGGGTGATGTAACCAATTTCTAGCCATTGGGAGCTAAAGTGATGTAAGATTATTTCCAATCCTGTCTCATAAATCCTCACAGCATAATTCTCTACTTTCCCTTCCCCAAATACATAGCAAAAAGAAAAGGATTTCAAGTCACTAGGGGTAGTGGAACCACCAATTCCAAGGAGTTTGAGTCCCAGGATGACTGCATGAAGCAGAGTCTCTTTCAATCCACTTTGGACCAGGACAAGGTCAAGAAATAAGAATTTATGGGCCTGCCGAGTGGCGCATTGGTTAAGAGTTGGCTTGGGACGCCAGCTCTGAGCAGCAGGGCTCTGGTTCGGATCCCACATGAGGGCCAGTGATGCTGCCCTCTACAGCTAAGATGGTGAACAACAGCTCGACCTGGGCCAGTGAAGCAACATCCTCCACAACTAGACTGAAGAACAAAAAGGACAGCAACTTGTCTGTTCCCCTCCCCCAATTCTCCAATAAAATCTTAAGAAGAAAAAAAAAAAGAAATAACCATTTACTGTGTAGGCCACTGAACATTTGCAGATGTTGGTTATGGTAATTAGTCTATACTGACCAATACACCTATTAATATACTATTAAAAATAGGTTTTAGTTAATTCAAAGGTCCTATAAAATTCAGTTGTTTGGAAAATTTGCAAGGCCTTTATTGACATTTTTATACTCTATCTTCCAGTAATGTCATGAAACTTTTAATTATGTTCAAGGTAAGAAAGCACCAACATTTGCCTGTGGCCATAGCTTGCCCAGTACTGGCTTCCTATGTCAATCAATGCAAAGGAAGAGATGAAAGGATGGGAAGATTCATTTACTCAATATCTCCTTGGAGGCTAAGAAGTGTTCATATTTCTTCTACTTAGTAGGAGTACACCCTGGCTCTTTCTGTTTGCAAACTTTTAAGTTTTGGATAGAAATATTGGCTTGTCGGAAAAGTCATGATGCATTTTTGCAACAAAAAACATAGAAAAAA